GGTCTAAACTTAGTCAAAACAAGGTCAAACTTCATAGAAACCTTTGAAATAGTATCAGATGGATAAAAGTTACTTGAGAATTTAAATGACCATTTCGTGGTTAATTCAACTTGGGAAAGGTTGAAATGTTCTAATTGATTTAATTTTGATAAATTTTGATAAATTCAATAAGTCTTCTGAAACATTTTTATTTGATAATTGGTTTGAAAGCTATTTTGAGAGTTTGGTTCAAAAACACCAAGATTTAGACCCAATTATATTATTTTTTAGGCTCTATTAAAAATAGTACAGCTCGATCTAAACCTAGTCAAAAACAACTTCAAACTTTATAGAAACCTTTGAATGACCATTTTGTGGATTTTAAATAGACAAAAGTACAATATATTCTATCTTTAGGATTTTAAATGGCCATTTTGTGGTTAATTCAGCTTGTGAATAAGCTGAATTTTTTTAATTTCATAACATTTTTACAATTTTGATGAATCCATAAACTATTTTATAACATTTGTACTTGATAATTGGTTTGTAAGCTTGGTTCAAAAATGCCAAGATTTAGACCCCAATTATACTATTTTTTGTAGCTAATCCAAAAACAGTATAGCTGGGTCTAAACTGGGTGAAAATAAGCCCAAACTTTATGAAAACCTTTGAAATAATCTCATATGGACAAAAGTATAATATTTTTTTATTTTTTATGATCTGTATAATTTATATGTATATATTATTATTATAATAAATTGATATATATTAATAAATTATTTGATATTATTTAGTTTGAATCGAGACAATTTTGGGTTGGTTCAATTGAGTATTTAGTTGAATGTAATGAATTTGAAAAGGGCAAGAGAGGCTACAGATTTTTAAGGTGGAAAAGACAAAAAGTAGTTGAGGGTTATTTTGTCATTTTAAAAATTAGGGGTTCTCTACTGTAATAAATGGAAAAGTGAAAACTAGGGACTTTTCTATGGAAATTATCCAAGTTTTAAATATTGATCTCTTTTTATTTTTTACTTTGAAATTGTTGAGAATTATAATATAGTTTCGAAATTATTAGAAATATTAAAAATTGAAAGGTTGTCAAAAGAAAGTTATTATTGGCAAGATAGTCTGTCACTAAATTATCAACGTCCTTTTCATTTAAATAAGAATTAGCAACAAAATTGAAGTATTTTGTAACTAAAATAAATTTCTTTTAATTTCTTTTTTTGGGATATAAAGAATAACATTTTTTTCATATCCATCCATATGAAAAAGAAGCAATTGCTCATAACATTGTTATAATTAAGTGGAGATGTACAGCGAAGTGGTTGATTGCTTATAATTAAGTGGTGATGTGGATGACTTAATTGTTCAGTCCAAAGACTCATAGTGAAGTGGTTGAATGCTTAAAGACTTTCACATACTTCATGACACTTGAGGTTTAGACATGACCTATCAACTAAGAAGATGGTTCATACCCTATCTCATATTCTTCACTCTAGTTATGTATGGGAGGGCCGGTGGTTGCTCAACAATCAAGAAATCTAAAATGCATTATTCATATATACAATGCAAAGACTCACTACCTAAATAAATAACCAATGGAAGCTCTCATCCAATACTCTTCCAACATCTTCTCAACTTTAGAAGTGTATGTCCGAGAATAATATCGATTAATAATGTAATATAAACATACGTTCATACATTGTCAATAGACACGTTATTTGATAAAATGGATGTCCGAGCTCTGGCTTGCTCTTCCAATAATAAATTTCCACAATAGAACTCAATAAGATATTAACCATTTCTGGGATTTATCTAATAAATGAAAGGCCTATTGAGATTTGATTCATAGTTATCTAGGTAGTTATCATGATCTAGTAGTTACAGGGTGATCTCAATAACTACTTGAATCATAATCTAGTAGTTATAGGGTGATTTTAAAAACTACCTCAATCATGATCTAATAGTTATAGGATAGTTACCGCTAGGTCCTATAAATAGGACCATAGTTCATAAAACAAGAGATATAGAGAGTGTATGCACTTGGGAATATCTTGTAAGTGTTCTTATGAATCCTCCTGTTTTAAATACTACATTAATTTTCTTGAATCGAAAGGATTCTTTTACTTGCATCGTAGTATTCTGTTTTATCGTTTCCTTGCTCCTCCAGATGACGAAATCAGGCTGAGGGAGAATAGAAAGAAGGACTTAAAGGTATTGTTCTTCATTCAACAAGATATACATGAGATAATCTTCTCGAGAATTGCAGCAGCGACAACCTCAAAGCAAGCTTGGTTGATACTTCAAAATGAATTTCAAGGCTCATCAAGGGTGATTATGGTAAAACTTCAAATCCTTCGTTGTGAGTTTAAAATTTTGTTCATAAAAAGCAATGAATTGGTACAAGATTTTCTTTCTCGAGTGATTGAAATTATTAGTTAAATTAAATCTTACGGTGAACATCTTCCTAATCATATAATTGTTATAAAAGTTTTGAGAAGTTTAACACCAAAATTTGATCGTGTTGTTGTCGCAATTGAAGAGTCAAAAAATTTATCTACATATTCATTTGATGAGCTAATGGGTTCCTTGTAAGCACATGAAGTAAGGTTGAACAGGTCATTTGAAAAAAGTGAAGAGAAAGCATTTCAGGTTAAAGGGGAGTCTATTGTAAAAAGTTTGGTCACATGAAGGCAGATTGTTGGAAAAGAGAAAAGCAAGCAAGCTATGTGGAGGAAAATAAAGAAAATAGTAAGTTGTTTATGACTCATTCACAAGTTCATAATATCTTAAATAATATTTGATTTCTGGATAGTGGATGTTCTAATCATATGTCAGGCATATAATATTTAGAGATATTATGAAACTCACAAGTTGAAAGTTAGACTAGATAACAAGCAAACCCAAGTGGAAGGAAAAGGTGATAATGTTTTCTTTGTTTCTACTTTATTACATAATTTGTTGAGTGATGGACAATTGATAGATGATGGATATTCAGTAATATTTGATGATGGTTCATGCACTATTAAAGATAAAAAAATCTGGTTTGATTACAGTAAATGTCTGTATGATGCAAAACAAGATGTTTCCACTTGATGTGTCAAATAATGAAAGGCATGCGCTTGTCGTAACTCATTAAGGGTTTAAAGTTGTTAAGTCAAAAAGGAATGGTTTTCGGATTGCTTAAAATTAATACACTTGATGTATGTGAAGGATGCATTTATGGCAAACAAAGTAAAAAATCATTTCCTATTGAAAAAGCAAGGAGAGCATCTAATTGTCTTGAATTCATTCATGCTGACTTATATGGACCTATGAATACAAAATCATTTGGTGGAAGTCAATATTTTTTATTGTTTACTGATGATTATAGTCGTATGAGTTGGATATATTTTCTAAAATTGAAATCTGAAACATTTGATAATTTTTGAAAATTCAAGGTACTTGTAGAAAGGCAAAGTGGCAGATATATAAAGACACTTCGGACAGATAGAGATGGTAAATTTTTATCTAATGAGTTTAATTCTTTTTGTGAAGAAAATTGTATTCACAGAGAATTGACAACACCATATACACCAGCAAAAAGGTGTAGCTGAACATAATTCTCTAATGGTTTACCTCTATGTTGATGATATTATATATATGGGTTCATCTAACTCTTTAGCAAAATTTAAAAAATGCATGATGAATAGTTTTGAAATATCAGATCTAGGTCTACTACATTATTTTCTTGGGTTGGAAGTGAAGTAAGGATCAGATGAAATTTTTATTTCATAAAAAAAGTATGCAATGGATCTACTCAAAAAATCTAACATGATTAATTGCAAAGCTGCAGCAACACTCATGAATATAAATGAGAAATTGAAACTTAAAGATGGTACAAGTCTGACAAACGCAAGATACTATAGAAGTTTAGTTGGAGGTTTGATTTATCTAACTCATACTCGACCAGATATTGCATTCTCTGGTATAGTATCCGGGTTTATGTATAGCCCAAGCAAACATCATCTCGGAGTTGTTAAAAGAATTCTGCGTTATATTGTTGGAACTACAGATTATGGTATTTGGTATTCTCATAATTTTAATTGTAAATTATCTGATTTCATTGATAGTGATTGGGCAAAAGCTTTAGATGATCAAAAGAGTACTTCAGGCAATGTTTTTAGCCTCGGATCAGGAGCTATATCTTGGAGTTCTAAAAAGCAAGCAACAACTGCGTTATCGACATAAGAAGCAGAATATGTAGTCACAACATCAACAGCTTGTCAAGCAATATGGCTTAGAAGACTTCTTGAAGATCTTCATCAAGAATAAAAAGAAGCAGCAGAAATATTTTATGACAATAAAGCCACAATTGCAATGACGAAGAATCCAACATTTCATGGAAGAACGAAGCATATAGAGATACGGTATCATTTCATTCGAGATCTTGTAACAAGTGGAGCCATAGCAATGAAGTATTGTGGAACAGATGAGTACATTGCAGATATCCTCACCAAGTCGCTTCCAGCTCAAAAGCATGTTTATTTCATATCGCAAATCGGTGTATGCAACTATGAATCAAGGGGAAGAGATTTGATTCATAATTATCTAGGTAGTTATCATGATCTAGTAGTTACAGGGTGATATTAATAACTACCTCAATCATGATCTAGTAGTTATAGGGTGATTTCAATAACTACCTTAATCATGATTTAGTAGTTATAGGATGGTTACCACTAAGTCCTATAAATAGGACCATAGTTCATGAAGCAAGGGATATAAAGAGTGTGTGCACTTGGGAATATCTTGGTGTTCTTATGAATCCTCCTATTTTAAATACTATATCAGTTTTCTTGAATCGAAAGAATTCTTTAAATTACATCGTAGTATTCTGTTTTGTTTTATCGTTTCCTTATTCCTCCATCCCCAACAAACCCAAGCTCTAATGTAAAGTACACAATACTAATCTTTTCTGGTATTAACAATCAATTAACCCCACTGATCTTGCAAGATTTTACCAATGAATCACATAGAAATCCGATTAAATGGAGTGATGAAATTAATATAACATTTTGACAGATGGCCATTTGTATGTAGCATGCAGCATCCTAGCAAAACATTGTCTTGACTGTTGACCATTTGTAGCTAATGTAAAAGAGTCCACTGATTTGCAACCAATAAGTTAAAATCGGTCCACTCTTATTGATAAAACAACGAACAAAGTGTCAACTCAATTGAAGCCTGATAAAACTGACACGAAAAAGAAGACATGTATCGCTTCAGTCTCTCCATCTGTAGCCACAGCTTGGATTGCAGCAAACGAAGAATAGGGTCATACCTTCCTCTCCCCTGCTGGTAGCCTGCAATCAATCATATGGGGAACCATCAATGTATCACAACCTAAACTAGATGTGAGAGGCAAGTACAGTGTCCTACTTCAGAGATTACCATGTTCGAGCGAGAAGCCTACAACTACTGCTTTGGGCACTTATTGGAACTCAAAGTTTTGAGGTATAGTACATGTTGGCAGTTTCTCAATTTTGGTGTAATTTAGTGACTTTTAGTGATCTTCCACAAGGGAATGATGCATCCAAGATAGGTAACCAAATAGGAACACCTAGGCAATTTGTGGACACATAGGCACACTTAAACAAAAACGAACAGCCAGCAGGAATTGCAAAGCATGGTTAGCTCAACACTGGTAACCGTCGAAGGCAAGTACACAACTAAATTTCATTAGCTGGAAAGATGAGCAAGAATTTAGGGAACCCTTCTCCATCTGGCAAAAGATTCTCCTTGGTAGAAATAAACTCTAGCTTAAGAAGAGTTCCAAAACAACTTCGGAGTTCTCTAATAATATTAATAGATAGTTAAATAAAGAGCACACTTCTGATCTTAACATTTTATCCCATTATTCATATTGGCTATTTTGGAAATTGTGACTAGAAAACCTAATGAGGTCAAACTGGTGGCTGTCCACCCAATGAGAGAATGGAGTTGACATGATCCCTTTTCCTCATGCTTCAGAAGCATAGGCTTGGAGAACTAATTCAACTTCATCAGAAGTGCATGGAGGATTACTCTACCATGAGGAGCATGAATGCCCCTTGATGTCAAAGAGATCTGCAAAATAGAGGCCATTGGGAATTTTTTCAGAAAACCTCCTTTAATGCTCAGATCAAGAACTGCCCCAAGAGAGTGATGGATTTGTGAGCACTCTTTCTGAGAAAGTGAGAGTTAGACATGGCTTTTCTATTTGTTTTTCTCCCTTTTTGGGATTCTCCTCCCTTTCTTACCATACCCATAGATGTCTTTTATAGTGCTAAGAGAATAATGGTGCATCATTGAAGAAGATCCTCCAAATCCATATGGTCATTGAGAATATTCTTATTGATGCTCCAGTGCAAGATGGAGGCCGAATTGCAAGAGTGATGGTCAAGCTGGGATGGGCTGAGCTTTATGGAGACACCATAGCCCTTCCCAACCTACCCCCAGTCCGAACCGAGGTCCATGTCTCCAACCTACTAAGTATCACGTGGGCCAAGCCTCCAACCTACTAAGAGTCACGTGGGCCAAGCCGAATCACCCGAGTCATGCCAACCTAAATAGTTTCAATTTTAGCTAATTCCTAATTGTGCTGTGCTGATCCGGGTAGTCTCAACCTTAGTTGTCCTGACTGAGGTTGTTATAAGTTGCCACCTTGCATCCAATACTTCAGACTGAATGAAATATCTAGTTGTTTTATGGATCGTGAGGAGCATGGAGTTGCACACATGATAGTGTTCCATTGACATAAAAAATTTCCACACATCAGTTGCCCCCATCCCATTCTGAGACCAGTTTAGGTATCAGAATGCATTGCTTTTTCCAGTGGAGTGTAGATCGCCAACCTTGACACTTAAATCTGCAATTGTTGTAGAATAGGATAATCTAGGCTACCAACATGGATCATGGAAATATTTACTTGAGTCTGTCATGATCAATCTCAAATTTACTTGATGGCGAAGCTTAAGCTTTGCCGAGATAGGTGGTTCTGCTATTTTCTTTTGAAAAGATCCTATCTTTTCTGTGCAAACAAATAATTTTTGTCGATTCAAATCTTGTTCCACCTAGGAAATGTCACATGTCCCCGAGTTTCTTTGACCGCTTGGCAATAGGGAATGAACCATCACTTCAACCTCATAAATTAGAATTAGGGCGTTTTCTTTGTTCATGCAACCTTTAAGCTCTCTAAACTGTCTTCCTGCCTTGTCTTCAACAACCTTGTCCTTGACTATTTCAGCTGATGTTACACCAATAGCACTTGAAGAATGCTTATTTAGGGTTTCTTTTTTGGGGGGCACAAGATAAGTTGTGAAGGCAGGATTTGATCCTAAGACCTTGCGGTGATCTATTGAGCCTTTTACAGGCTAAACTAGCTAGCACCTTTAAAAATATATATCGGATGAGGTTTCAAACCCTCGACCTTTGATAAGTACAAAACATATTGAATAAGGCTTTGAATCCTCAACATTTGGTAAGTGAGCCTAGTTTTGATGTGATATCATTTTCTAAAAACTAGTAGGTCTTCTCCCCTAGCCCTTCCACCTCGATTGCCCTCTTCTTCCAAGGGGTTTCCAACATCTGATCCCAATTCTTTAACCTTGTGAGAGCTAATTCCCCTCTACCTTTACAGGAGTTGGAATGTCATATCTTAAACTAAAATTGATAATATAATACCCATCAGACCATTATAAATCTATCTTAGTCCTGCTCACATTCGATGTGAGACTAACCGGGGTGTTATACCCAGGGACCAAGAGACCATGAGAGGTCAGCCTAGGTGACCCTCCAACCAGTTGTTATTGCACCTTGTCCTATTGAGGCCTACATTTGTCAACAAGAGAGCTTGGGAAGAGACCTTTGAAAGGAGGGAAGTTGGAGGTAGTCATCCTGTTCACCAACTTGACTCAACCAAGAGAAGAGGAGGGTCCCTTGAAAAGGAGTTGGCAAGAGGAGCAAGGAGCTTGATTCATCCCCTCTTTCTTCAACCAAGTAATTGTGGTTGAGCGACTGACCAACCTGACGAGTGAGGAAATCAACTCTCGCTAGAGAATGATTGGCATGACCAAGCATGGAAGACCATGAAGGAAGATACAACCTTTGTCCAAGATGCCATATTTCTAAGGCTCACCAACGATCCCCTCTTTCTACATTTTTTTCTTCTTTCTTATTCAATATTAATATTGTCAAGTAGAGCTTCCACCTAAATGTCACGTTTATTGCTTGAGATCAAGATGCAAGTTCATGGTTATAGAGCTGATGGAGGAGATTAATTGACTCTTTGAATAATATAATAGACTAACCAAACAAAATACTATGGTGAACAAGGACAACCTGACTAGATTAAAAGAAGAGTGGGAGAAGCACTAATTTGTAATCAATAGAAGGAAGAAGCAAATGGTCAAGGTGAGAACTAATTATGAAAACCAAAGGAGCTATATGATGTCCAACAGAAGGTCCAAGTGCAAAATGACAATGTCGGTCTCCACTAACAGGTGTAGAATTCTGCATGAACATTTGCTAAACTATAGAGCATGGTAGATGAGTTGATAGAGCTAACATACATAGCTATGGAAGACTAGAAGTGTTCATAGGTTTCTTCAATTTACCCGGTTGACATCTCTATATAGGAATGCCCTCTACCATGTTTAGGCAAAAGTGATGTGCAAATGCTCAAAGTTGGACGCTAGCACATAGACTGATCATGAGGTTGATGAACATGTTTATCAGCTAGAAGGAGGGCAATATAATAATGATTTAAAATGCCTTGAACATAATCCTAATTTGCCCCAACAAGCTCTAAGCATCAGCAGATGAAGAAGTTATGCTCATGGATGGCGATCGTCCAATGCGTCAAGCTAAGGAGAGTGAAGCCGTGGGTTGGGTGGAGGAACACCGAGCTAGAGAGCCATTTAGTGATTTAGACTTGTAATTTTCCACTATTTGTTTTTATACAGAGGTCGGTTTGACCAAATTTCTTGCTAATGTAATTCGGTCGACCTCATTTCAGGTGTACTTTCATTTTCTATTAATGCAATCTCCATTTCCCGAATATATTGTGATTTAACCATTTTCCTCGTTGGTAGGACCACCCCTGTCCCATAAGTGAGGCAGATGGGAATTCCTCCCATAGATATTGTCGGAGCGTTACAATAGGTGGACATAATGCATGGGAGTTATTCCACCTATATTCATTGTGCACTTGTCACTTGCTTTTCCAAGCCATTAAGGATCAAACAGTCTATATCCTCTGCTAGCTTATTAGACTACAAGTGTCTACCAAACTAAATCATAAGGTAATATTATATTTGTCATAGGATTACAAGTTTGCTACCAAACTAAATCATAAAGTAATACTATATTTGTCATAGAATTCCTTGAATTTATATTGTTGAACTGGATTTCACTGTCAAAGACAAGGACCTTCAACATACTAATCTGAATTACGAAGCTCTTCTAGATGAATTGCTCAACCAACCTCTTTTTGTTAAGCTAGCAAGTAGCTCGACTTTGACTCATTTGGTGAAGTGGATGACTCAACTAGCAAATGTGTGATGCATTGAGGGGGGCAAGAATGACCCAAAAATGTTCGACCCCACTATGCAAATGCCTAGGTGCAATTAATCGAAGAGAACCTTTTTGTAGGTTGATGTGGAATGTTGGCGTAGTGCTAACATTAGTCACACTTTGTACATAGGCAAGAGTATCCTTCTTTATAGTTGGCCAATAATGCCATACCACCAAAGTGGACTCCGCATAGACCTTCCTATGTCTTCTAGTACTTGGACAATGCCTACTGATCTAAGATATTACAGGTAGGATTGCGTGAAGGGTCTCCTATAGAGATCACTTAATAAGGCTAAAATTGGCCTCTCTTCTCTTGAGCAGCTATGTTGTGGCATTTTCGAATGGCAAAGTCTCATGGTCTTCTAAGTGATGATTTCATTCAACTCATTTCTTGATTGCCTACTTTAGATTTGTGAATGCTTCGAGTGATAAGAGTCTTAACCCAAATGTGTAAAACCCTATATTAGGATAGTTGGTTAGTGTTTCGGGCAGCAAGGATCCTGACCATAATGTGCCCTCCTATATTAGGGTATCGGCCAAAGGCAAGCTTCGACAATGCATCAACCAAGACATTTTCTGCCTGTGATACTGCACAATTTCAAAGTAATATACCTTAGCAACTAATTCTTCTAAGTTCTACCATCCTCAAGCCTTAAAACATTGTTCCTTCTTCAACTTCTTCTAAGGACTTGGTTGATGATAAATTGATAGTGTCTCGGTTGATGACAAATTGATAGTCATCGTAGACCAT